CACCGTTTTCATATGAAATTTAAAGGGGACTGAGGCGATCACAAATTTATGGAACTAATTGCAAAATTTTAGGGGGTCTGAGTAGTAATTTTAGCCCCCCTAAAAATGGCCTAGCGACGCCCATGCTACCGCAACATTGCTTTCGATAACATCCAATACTATTACCAGTATATTAATAACTGCACTAGACTGGTTAATTGGTTTATTTGAAATGATAAATTGAATTTCATAATGTTAGTATTAGATTAACATTCCAGACTCTCCGTAGGTTACATTGTTACACCAGTAGATTCAAGTATTGGCATGGTCAAAGGCTTCATATTGCCAAAACATTGGTAACAAAAAATGACAGACATACAAATTACATATAAATAATGAAAATGAATGGGTCTAAGAGTTAAATCATTTACAAGGATTTATAGGTTACATTGTTACACCAGTAGATTCAAGTATTGGCATGGTCAAAGGCTTCATATTGCCAAAACATTGGTAACAAAAATGACAGACATACAAATTACATATAAATAATGAAAATGAATGGGTCTAAGAGTTAAATCATTTACAAGGATTTGTTCAAGAACAAATCAAATGACCGTCTTAATGAATGAGTCATTAAATCATTCACTTAACCGGTTCTTTTAAAAACACCCATTCGTTCTGGAACGAAACAAGTTGACTGTCTTTATTAGTGATACATTGAATCCATTACCACGATTTGTTCAAAAACACTTGATTCATTCCTGAAAGAAACAAGTGACGTCATATGAGCGAGGCATTGAATCATTCACTAAACAATTCCCAATTCTAAACAATTGAACTATCTACTTTGAACTATTTTCATTGGCAGAACAAAAACAGACAAAGTAACTGACAATATTATGTCTAAAATGTAAGTTACTCAGCATTCACTAATTATTTATCATTCTATACAACAAACTGTTGTTTATAATTAAGAATACTGTATGAAAGCAACCGTTTAGTTTTATATGAGGTACTATATATCGTTTACTTATTGAATATGCACCATATGTGGTCTGTGCACCAATTACTGTATGAACTTTAGACGGTTGGTGTCATCTCGAATGGAACACTTTACGTGCTTTACTACATTGAACCATCCTTTTTACATACAAGAATTTAAAGCTTTTCATTTGAAGGAAATTTAAATGCACATGATGTGATGCAAGTGGCATTTCAAACGCACCTGAAATGTTGCTAACTTTTGTGATTTTTGCACGTACCCTTTCTTTATGTAGAAACACTTTGTAAAAAATGTCAAATATGTGAAATATGACTTGCTTAAAGCTTTTTAAAGGAATGTTTTCATTTAAATGATTGCATTTAAATGAATGTTTTTGGGTTCAATGCAAGTTAGCCTTTATTTCTACGAAAGATAAATTTGCCTAAAGGACCTTTCACACTGAGCGCAATTAAGTAACGCAAATGTACAACGCAATGACATTCTTGAATCAACACAATAGATCCCTATGGAGCTATGCACACCGCCTGCAATCATTCACGGCATGACAAAGTGTGAGTTTTTTTTCCCCATTGCCCCATGATGAAATGAGCCGTCCAATTAGATTTGAGCTTTAGATCACATTCCCAGAGCCGCTGCTGTTGCACAAAAGGGCGAGATTAGTGGCGCTAGGGTTGTAACGGTATGAGATTTTCACGGTATGATAATCGTCTCAGAAAATATCATGGATTTCACGGTTATCACGGTATATATTAAACTATAATTCTTATCAGTAACAATGACTCTTAAAAGAACAAGAACAAGTTATTTGAGTGAACAAATCCTTTATTACAACAAACTTGAAACCATTTTAATGAAAGTATTGAAGTCTCCCTTCTGAAAAAATGTATAAATAAAAAAAACAAAACAATAAAAGATAAAGCTGTACACCTTATGTATATCTATATCACACTTTAACATTTTTAACATTTTAATTAAAGGGGTCATATGAAAAGGACTTGTTCATGAAAGAGGACAAATCAAATAAGTTATCTTGCTTAATCACTGCAGTCACAAGTGAAACTTGTTATATACAGTGATAGAGACCCGAACATGTAAGGTCACGTAGTCATTTTTAAAGCATTATGTATTGATTCTACAGCTTATTTATATTACATACGAGCTGTTTATATTAACATTCATTTTAAATAACTGATTTATAATAACTGATAAACTAAAATTGCTTGTGTGTAATGGATTAATAATAATATCAACCATATAATTATGTAAATCATATAAAATAACTCTAAGTAATTATCATTAAAGCCAGACATTTTTTTAGTACTAGTGACCTTTAATCTGAAGCAAGATAAACTGGGGGAGTGACTTTTTTGTGTCAGACATGTGTCACTTTGCTTACATCTGATTGGTCCAATTTCAGTTTGAGATCTCTAACTCAGAACATAACCTGCCCCGGAGCAGGTTAGCCGTGGAGTGTTACTATGGCAAGTTACTATGGCAATGAACTCCGCTAAAAGCCAAGCCACTTTCATGGTACCTAAAACCCAGGATTGGTGCAAACTAAACTGAAATTTACCTGGCTAGCCAGCTAATCCGGCTTCATGGTACAGGCCCCAGCTCTGATGATGTTCATGTTTATGTATCTTAGACGCTGAAAACACCATTTATGTATGCATACTTCAGTATGCTGTAGATAAAACGGCGCCACTCAGAGACATGCAGAAACAAGCAGATTATTCATATAGCAGTCTCTTTGCACTTTAATATTCACAGACACATATCATAACTACTTTCGATTTATCCATCCATCCGATTGCATGTTTTACGTGACATCCTCGTTATATTGTAAATTCCATGTTCACGACTGCACCGGGATTCCATCTGCTTCACGGAAATCATACGGCCTTAACTTATAACTTGTTATTAATGCGACATACCTTTATCTGCATGGAGGGATGGTGTCCGCAAATATGAGCGAAGATGTTGGATGTATTGCCTGCTTTTGCAGCCACTTTGCGTCCACATTTTTTGCAAATTGGATCGGTCCTCAAGGACAACCCCGCGTTCGTTTTTTTAAATATCCGAAGTATTCTCATACTGCAGATATTAACTTTTTTTTCGGCAGGGATGGAGATTAGATATTATCTCTGTCTCTGTCATTTTCTCCACTGCACGTGCGTGTAAGCAGCCGAGTGAATGCAGAGTGAAGCAGCCGAGCAGAAATAAGTTGCATGTGCGCGGGTGAGATTTTTCATTAATTTTTTTTTAAACCGTAGATATGCAAATGTTTACGGTATGATAACCATGCACGTTCAAACCGTGATAAACCGGCATACCGGTATATCGTTACAACCCTAGGTGGCGCTATAGCACAAAAAGCTGTTTTGAAAACCAGTGTAAACACAGAAGAAAAGTATTATATAACGTTATTATATTAGAAACACCATTCAGAAAAATGCAACATTTTATTCTTTAAACACAGCATGCTACTTAGTTTCTTTTTCTAACCAGGCAAATA